AACCCACTGGTTTTATGCTGGGTGTCTCTTTTATCCCTGCAAACTATTTTCCCCAGACATCCTTATCTTGAGTTTTTGTTTACAAAGTACAGGAAACAGAATCACAAACACAGTGTAAAATTAGATGTTACTGCTCGACTTCCTTCACATCCAGATTTACAGCCCAGTCCTGATGACATCATAGATCAGGATCAGGACACATTCGATGGATGGATGGATGTGAGGGCAAGGGTAAAGAGAGATGAGTAGAAGGTGTGTGTCTAAGTCATCAGGGTTATAATCATCAAGTGATAATGCTTCCCCCTTGTGACTGTTTATTAAACTACCTACTTTGTTGAAAGTAAAGGAATTAGACTTCCATCATTTGCAGGGGAGCATGAAAGTAAAAATACATGAATACGAGTTTTAAATATCAGGAGTTATATCCTAACAGCTATTCTCTGTACATAAAAACACTGTGTAAAGATCTACTCCAGATATGTTTTAAGATATATTAAAACACCCTGCTTTGATTAACCATTTATGTCTAATTTGGCTTTTCCACAAAAGAAGTTCAATTACTCCCTCATGAATCAATGAACATGAAAATATTATTTATTTCAAATGATTAACTGCTAATAAAACGTGTGTAAGCTGCATAGTAAACCCTGATTGGTTCCTAAGGTGAACCATAAAAGATCTGTCCAGCAATACAAAAGTATATGTGAGAATTTAATGTCGTTTGGGAAAATATTGTTTCAATTTTCAGTTCCTGTCTTTATTCATTCATCCATCCATCCATTATCCATACCGCTTAGTCCCAAATGTGGTTGCGGGGGACCAACCCTGTCTTTAATGTCTTTTAGAAAGCAATAACATATGTACAACACATATTGTACATATGCTGAATGATGAGATATAAAAACAGCACATTGTCTTGGTAATTATTTATTACATAAAGAACTTGCTTGGAACATCCTCTAAACAGCTAATAAAAAAGAAAATGCAATGTCAGTTTCAGCTTCTTTTTTGTTGTCAACAAAGAAAGGGAGAATAGAATGAATGAGTTTCTTGCTACTAGGGCCACTACTTTTTATTCTCTGTCAGCTGCTCCCTTGATGTTTCATTTGAAATCTGGAGAAAGGGGGTGCTGATCTCACTTGACTGCATGTCACCAGCTACACGCAGCAGGCAACTCAGGACCATGTCCTTGGCCAGGCCGGCTTCCAGGTTTCTTTCCCGACTCAGCTGCAAAGTGATCTGGTCCAGACTGGTCAGGACCAGTTCTGAGTAAGGCAAAGGGCAGATAGGGTCTAGATGAGGTCCAGGGGCCCCCTCTCTTGCCATGTTTTCCATCATATATTGCTGATATAGATCCATGAGTTTCTGCTCCAGGTAGTGATTTAAGAGGGAGTTTGAGAATGGCTCTTCTCGTCCCTGAAACAAAAAGCTCCGATCACGGGTACTCCCCTGTCTCCAACGATTTGAGCCTCCCCTCAGTGGATGCAGAAGCCCTCCCTGAGATGTCTGTTCTGGGGGAGACTCACAGCTGACAGCTGGGGCAACATCACAGGACTGGAGGAAGGGCCCAGCAAGCTGGGTGTCAGGACAGAGCCTCAGCTCACCGTCATTAGCTGAGAGAGGCAGCACCTGGTCACCTCCAATATGGAGGTCACTGTAGTTCTGGCAGATGCTCTGACAGGAAGAGGGAACCAAGAAAGGGGCCTCACCATCAGAATGAGCCTGAGCTGGGATCTCTATCTCTGGAGAGATCTGTCTGCCTGGATGGGCCCTCTGGAGATCCAAGGACTTCAGGGGAGAAATGAACATCTCCACTGAAGCACTGCTGTCGTCCATACTACCTGTCCGCCCAGGGGAACTGTGATGAATGAGTGGAGCGTGTCTGGCAGAGCCTGGCATGAGGGTAGTGGCTGCTCTCGGCAGTCCATAAGCACTGTGGAGAACCTTCTGTGAAGGGAGCGCATCAAAGTCATCCAATTCACAGAACGCCATGCTCAACAATCTGCCTTCACAAAGCATGCTGCAACAAAGAGGACCCGAGATGGTAAAACACACTGCATGTCCGTAACAACTTGCTGACAAGCACACGATCATTCATGACTCTTTCAAATCTATTTCAACATGAATTTAAAACAATCCTATTCATGATCCATTTTGGGTTCTGTGGATAAGAAAGTCAGCATCTTCCTACCTTGGACCAGAATAAGTCTCTCAATCAGCTGATCATTTGTTGTCACTTGCCAAATGTCAATGTCCTTCCACAGCGTTTATCACAGCAGAGAAACGTACTTCTTAACAACACTGCATTGTCTATCAATACAGTCAAACGAATGTGTAAGCTGTTTGTTTCAAGGTATGTGTGAATCATGGTGTGTGAACAGTGGTTGATTTGTACCCCACCAAGAGGAAGTGAGAATGTCAGCCTTCTCACTCTCTTCTCATTTCTGCAAACTTAATGTTGCAGCTGTTAATCATGACTGTATTTTAACACATTAGTATCTTATTGTTCAAGGACTGTAACAGAACAGAGAGGCTGGGCTTATTTGTATCCTGCTTTGAGTCACTTATTTTGCAGCCGTATGTGTAAATGTACCATCGTTTTTTTTTTCATCCTGCCAAAAGAAATGGAGTGGCAGATGTTATATTTGTAGGAAGATACACAAGCTGTTAAAAAAAAACTAAAGTTTTGTTTCTCTGTAAAAGAAACAGGTGTGGAATCGAGATTACTCTAAAAGCGAAAAGAGGCGTGCTTAATATGATCAAAATGTCAGGCAACAGAGAGTTTGACAGATGCTAATTCCTGTTTTCGTTTTCTGACCAAACAAATATTGAGTTACCCTTCTGAGAGGCCCATTAATCCTACAGATTTTTAGTGAAATTAATAAGAGCTTTCTGGTATATGTTTATGTCAAAGCAGAAGTGTGACTTCAGCCTTGGTTAGGTAACCAGAACTCATTATTTCCTCTTTGAAACCATACTTATTCACCATGTTAAAGTAAATGCTATTAAATGTTGATGTGTCATATTAACGCTGAGATCTTAAAATTATATTTTTCCTCACTTGATTTGAGCTAACCCCAACCCTCTGTGGTATAAACTCATTTTGTATCATAGGTGTTCCACAGAAAACCCAGCTCTAAATCAGTTATCTGGTGAAAGTGCTGGAAGCTTTCAGGTTATATTTATGGCCAGGAAAAGTACCTTGTCTGCACGTGTCACTCTTATTTAGACTTCCTGTGCTTGTTGCAGAGAAACCCAACAATGGAACCACATGAAACATGAGAGGACATGTTTTATTATTAATTAGGTGAGAAAACCTAGACACAAATCATAATGATATGACTAATTCCCTGGAATCTAGGTCGCTATACAACTGATTTATGTGATCTTAATTGTAGTTTGTTTCCATGTATGGCCCAGAACTTGAAGAAAATAAACTCATCTGCAGTCTATCCTGTTTTCGTAATTAAAATCTGTCATGTCGAACGTATGCTTCATAAATGGGCAGATACACTTTCAAAATATTTCGCAAACACAAAGTTATAGGTGCACAGTTTGGTGGATTTCTAGCTGGTGTCTTGTCCCAAGTCTCATATCAATCAGGCTATCTGATACAGGACTGCTGCTCAGCAGTATTGGTAACACAAAGTGTAGAGTTACCGACTCGTTGCCACAGCAATGTTGCTGAACAACATCTGATATCATTAAAGGCATGATGAGATCGGGTTAGACAGGCCTGCTTTTTGCTCCGTGTCACAACAGAGCAGGTGGTCGGTTATTTCAGCACCACGGACAGCGTCTGGGCCCTGTGAGCAGCTAGGCAGGTTTAAAGGTTGTTTGTTTGTTTATTGAAATATTAGTTTATCTTCAAGAAAAGAATATGGATAGATGCTTCACAAACACTGAGATATCCACGGACAACTCTATAACCCTGAATGGCTCCATTTAGAGGAATGTTCAAGAAGATTAATAATGTGTTTCGACCCAACCATCACAGACACAGAGGGCAGGGTGGTGGAGGTGAGTTTCAGTCTGACTACCACAATGCCTGCACCGTTCGGCTGGTGCGCAGCACCTCTGTGCTCGTGGTGGGAGAGAAAACTCAGACGGCTGTGGGCTCATCTTTAAAGCGCAGCAAAAGTACAGTGAGCATTGGGTCGACCTTGTACTATTATCAGAGACAAGAGGACAGGATATGGCTGTATTCTCAGAATCAGAACTGCCTGGAGTACTTGGAAGCACTTGTGGCTTTGAGACGGCAATACACAAAGAGTGTGAGTGACCTGAAGAGTAAGGACAGCGAGGCCTCAGTGATCTCCACGAAGCTTGCACCTCCGCCACCTAATAAGGAAGAGCCGGTAAGTTTAACTCATCTCTCCCACAACACATGGCAGGTGATTTTAAAGACCGACATTCTCCAATTCTTTTAACCACAGATATCAAGAGCCAGATCCTCTGCGCCCCATGTCTCCAGCGAGGAGGACACTTTGCAGTTCTTTGATGCGGTCATCGCCAGCTGTGACAGGGAACCTCCGCGCAAGCCTTACATGGATGATGGACATGCTGACGTGGATTTCATAGGTGAGGTGAGGTGTAATGATTCTGTGTGATTATTCAACACAGACTCACTGTAGGTTGAAGTGAATAATTACTTTCAGGGGTCAAATCCTAACACAGATTTTAGCCACCTTGTCTGGGCATTCTGTTCTTTATCTAAATCACAATATCATTAAAAATCATACTATGTTTAATGGTCTATTGACCGACAGTCCTTAATCTACCAAATATAGTTGTAGCATTGTTTAGATTTGAGGTAGAAAACAAGTTGGTTTACTCAAGAACAGTGAGATTTTATGTTCACAATGTAAGGTGATCTTAAAAATATGTATTGCTTTGCATCAAACAGCCCAGCTGTGTTTCAAGTAGCTGCAATTATCTCCAGCAGTACCTTTTGACTGCATTGTGGTGATATTTACCTTCTTTCACCCAAGTAAAGGTTTGTGAATGCAAGATTTTCAATTTGTCATAGAGTATTACCTTTTGGTATTACTGCTTTCACCTAAAGGATCTTCTAGAACTGTAGTGTAAATTTGACACTTCACTGGGATATTTTCATTTTATACTACTTTACATAAAAAGTGATGCATTGTTAGAGACTGAACTATCCAGCAAAGAAAGGGCCATTCTGCATTATGAGTACTTTTATTTTTATATTTTAAGTAAGAAACTTCCTTGTGACAGTATTGGATTTTATTGGATGGACTTTCTTTTGACACCGATTTTTTTCACACCATTTATTTTGGCCCCATTTCTCCATTTAATACACCAAGGCCATTGACCTGCCACCTGAGCTTTTCCTGTTGTCTCAAAATGTATTATGTAACATACTATTCCTCCACCACTAGTTGGATGGGGCAGGTGAAGTCTGGTGAAGTTAAGGATTGGGAAAAGTCTGTATAATGTGCAAGACACTTATACACCGCACCAGCTTTTTGTGGCTTTGCAATGGTCCCTTTCTCACAGTAGTTAGAATGAAAACCAGAAGCATTTTCTGGAGTGAAAGCGACTGCTTTTTCAGCCTCAGCTCAGGTTGCCGCTCTCTGCCCCACAGTTGCCTCCAGCTCAGCTGAACACGACCTTCACTCGAACTGGGTCTTGCGGGTTCCTCGGGTCGCGGATGACTCCAAGCAGAACGCTGTTCCTGACTGTGCCAATGAAAGAGTCCCAAAGAAGAAAAACCAGAGCGGGTCCACAAGCAGCAGACTGCGACTTCAGAGGAACCCAATCCACCTGCCCAAAGTGGTGGAGAGTGCGTTCCAGACTCTGCGCTTCAAGCCCAAATTAAAAAAGCACTGAAGCTCGATAGACATTTGAAACCACCAGCACTGCTGAGATGCTAATGTAGAGCTTGACCTAGTTTGTTTGGTCAAACATGCTGTGCAAAAATCCATCCGGACAGTTAATACTGGCATAAAAACATTCAAACAGAATTTTAATAAAGCAGATTAAAATAAAATCTGTCCAACCAGTTAAATAAATTTAGTTCCTCTAGTTAAAATGGACTCAGACATAATTATTTTTATTTACACCTGTGCTTTTCTTACTGAGGCATGACAGAATGTCTTCAGAGAACAAGACCAGTATCATTTCTTTTAGGGATTTTCTCACCAGCTGCAAATCGATATTTGACTAAAATATACCAATAGGATGCCACTTTAAATGGTAAAAAGTAACTGCAGCTGCAGTAGGAAAAGAAATATTCAGACACAGGACTTCAACCAAAGTAGAACTACCTTGGTCTAAAAGTGCTTAAATTCAAAATGTACAAAAGTATTGCCAGTAAAATGTACACTTTATGGAGGATGGCTCCTTTCAGTCTTAATTATTATTGAATATTAAATTATTATTTACACTAATAATAAAAAATTACTTCCCATTATTCATTCAAACTTCTTAAATGAAACCGACACACTCATTTTCATTCTTTATTACAAAAGTCTTGTACAAACTATACAACATTCACTTCTCTGTTTTGACCTTGGGGCTGAAGAAAGATGACATAGGCTTCATGCCAGTCTTGTCCACCTTAGCCAGAGTTTTCTGAGCTGCAGTCATCTTCTTGGGCGGCTGGAAGAAGAGGAAAATCAATGATGACCTTCCAAAGAGACTGCAGGGAATTCACTACGAATTTGGAACGTCAATTCAAGCTGAGAGAAAACATGTTTCCACAAGGTAAGCCCCTTCAGTCATGTCTGTAATCTACAAAGCTTAAAGCAGTCCAAAACAAGAACTCTACTAACAATCACTCAAGGTCCTCAAAAAAAATTACTCCAGAGATCAAAGCTGACCACTTCAGCTATTATGCTAACATCAAAACAAATGATGACCAAAGCCACTGATTCTTTCAGTAACTGCTTCATCTTTTTCAGGCAGACACTCACTTTCCACGCAAAGTCTGCACTGTTGAATTTGGTGTAGTCCTCTCCGGCCTTCACCGGTTTGTCTGAAAGTTTCCGCTTCTGCCAAATAAGGAAGTAAGAAATGCTTTTCATGATACCAAATGTATTCCCAGAGAAATACACACCACTACAGGCTCTAAAAACCTCATACTGTATGTGAAACAGCTCCTACAATGTTAAATACACACAAGCAGTGAGTAAGGAATCACCTCAAAACATGCAAATGCAGCAATGGCAGAGTGAGGTGGAGGACTACAGAAAACACCGTGGCTTCGACAGCATGAAGAAAAAGCAGTACATAACACACACACACACACTTCACCTGTGTTGAAGATACTAACGTACCTTCGAAGGAGGCTCTGTCTCCTTTGGGCTCGTCAGCTCTGGTAACCTGTGAAGTAGGACAGAGGCAGGGTTGAATTATGACCATACCTTAGTACTAATAATCACGGTTAACATGTTAGATGTCTGAACATACTGCAAGTGTCTGAGGAGGGCTTTGCTCAGGTCTTCACTGATGTACTCTGATATCAGTCCGTGAGCATAGCGTAGGTAGTCCTCTGGATCATGAAAATCAGAGAATGACAGTGATTACTCATAATACACTACCTATTAACTTCTATAATTTAAGGCTGAGCGATTCAAACATCAAACTGAAAGATAGGGAATGTTTCAGTGTTTTATAACTAACACTAACCAACATGTTAGTACTGCCATCTATTGGTCAACATCCTATCTGCTGCAAAATCACACACTGGGAATGTTGGAAGAATTAAGAAGGTGAGGCTGGGATTTGAAAGATATGAGGGGGCTCGTCTTAAATACTGAAACACCCTGAAGAAGAACTGACTCACCCTCACAGCAGTCTGACTCTGTCTTCGCTCTGACATATGTTGTGGATTTGACTCCTTCTCCCACTGAGATATTTCTCTTCTTGAGGACGACGACTGTCCTCTCCACCTATGACAAGAAGCAAAAAAATGAATTATCCAAATCCACTGCACAACTGTCATATGAGCACAGTTTTTGTAATCTGCTGTACTGCCATTAAACTGTCTTGCACTGTCTGTCTTTAGACCAGCACAACAGCTGTTGTAATTTCACAGAACATAACTTAATTAGTACTATAGAGTACCTTTTTCTTTAACCAGTTCAGCGTCTTCTCTTGGCTGTATCGATGAAATTTCAGGCCTCCCGCCTCTGGAAGAATGAACCGCAGCATTTAAACAAAGCACTTAGCTCAACCATATCGCTGAGTAATATTAGCTTTGAAAATAAACTTCACCTTTTTCCTCAGCAATGTGGTTGAGGGAAGCCAAGGAACGTGTGCAGCTCAGCAGCCTGGCGCAAGCTGGAAATTCCTCATCCATAACAACTTGATGCACAGGTTGGAACTTCCCCTGAACAGAAGATAACAGAGCACAGATGAAAAACACTGGGTACACTGTTTGAGCACAGGTGAAAACCATTAGCAACCTGGCACTTTGGATTTGAGTAGAAATACAACAATGCAACATGGCAACCCCATTTTGAAGACAGACCTTTTGAAATATTGCTTCTAGTAGTTACTGGTAAAGAAATAGTCAAAACACATTTCTTTCTTTGTGCGCTGAATTATTAAGATACTAACTGACAGTGCTGGAATTGTAAAAAGTCATATTTTATATCTTTATAACCTTGTTACTTCCTCACCATCACTTATTTGTGCTAAGCCAAGTTAAACATATTTTGGACTCATCTGTATATGTAACTACTAGTACTGAAAGGACAGAGATATATCTATTCTATATATCTATTCTTTAGCCCAGGATAATATGCAAACCATATGTCCCAAAAATGTGGAGTGTTCCTTTAAAAGAGAGGCTGAATTGACCTGGTATTAATAAAGAGGTAAACTGATTTTGTGTGATTAAAAGCAGTCATATTACCAATGCAGAGTAACATTACAAAAGCATGACAATCTAATAATTTACATACTTTAACAAAAATAACAGACTTCTGTTTCTTACCTCTTTATCAGATTTAATCATATATGGCAAAATAAGATAGAGGGGATCCATTGGGGTAACAAAGAGAAGTCTCCCATCTGTTTAAAAAAGGGAGACACCAGAGAAAATATAGAAACCTGATTAACACAAGGTAGAATTCTGACCCTGGACTAGTTAAAATTACAGCATATGAATTCGATGGCATTATGATAACCTGTTCTCATTGTGGCATGTCATCATTATATGTGGACACTGGTCTTCTGGACATGATGAGCTTTTTCTTTCCTTTCAGTTTTTATAACCAATGTACCTGAGGTTTCTGCAAGTATGATTTAGCTTCTTTACAGGTCTGTTATTTGACCGAACATGCTATACAGTAAGCGCTGACTGCTGATGGCAAATAATGCTAATAGGGATTTAAATGTAATAACAGTCACCTTGTAGCAGTTTAGAAATTATGATTAAGTTGCTTCAGATATGACAGTGTAATGAGACTAACCTCTCTGTACAGTCTGACCAACAAACCAGGAGTGGAAGTCTTCTTCAAATGCTTTGACCTCATACAGCTGTGCATCACCACTACCCAGCATATACAAAGATGCTGCATCTGCAGGATATAAAACAAATGAGGAACTGTGTTACTTTCACTACTTACATAAACAATCTATTTCTTCCGCCATTGCATGTCTGTTAGTTTGACAAATCAAACAATTTGTAGGCATCACTTTGGGCTCTACTGTGATCTGTAATTTTACATAAAAAAAAAAACATTTTGTAGTTGCAGGCCTAGATGGAGATAAAACAATGCTAAAATATTTAATACAAAAGTCAGACCTGTAGAGGGATTCCTTAGTCTCACAAAAGCTGGATTACTGTCGTGCTTGTGTGTGTCGATGACGGAGTCTGTGGACATCAAAACAATAATTAGGCTCACGGTGTCTCAATGTGTAACTAAGCTAGTCTCTGAGAAAACGGCACTGAGGGAAACTGTCTTTAGCTAAAGTAACCAATGTTATAACGGAACGTTATAGACTAATAACTAACGGTATCTTATTTAAGGCTAGTAGTAACGCGTTAGTTTCTGTAACATGTAGCTACTCTAAGAGGCATGCTACAGCAAACAACCCGCCCACTAGTAGTAGTAACATTAAGTATTGACAGAATTATTATGGTTGGACGCCTCTGCTAAAGCTTTCTACGTTTGTAGCAAGCTAGCTTAGTTAGCACACAATGCATGCGCTGCGGAACCCACCTGCAGCAATGACAACCCAGCTGTCATTTTGAGCACTAGGAGCTCGCTTCTTTTTAGTGGCCATAATTAAGCTTAACGGGACGAATTTCAGTTGGCTTGATCTACTAGTGATATAATTCAATGTTTCTCTGGGCTAAAAACAAGAAGTAGTTCCTGCTTTTAGCCTAACAACACGAGCTCAGAAAAGGCGCCTCTCAGTGTCGACATCATGGTCGACATCCTGCGTTTGTCTCACAGGACAAAACACGACGTTTATTATTGCACTGTCAGCTCATTTTTATCAAGTTCTTTAAACGAGCACAACTAAATATGTTTTTAAAATCAAATGATTATATCTGCGTTGAAAATATCAGAGAAATGCGAACATGGCCTGTAATATTTACTTTAAATTAACCCTGTTTTTAAAGCAGTGGTACGTTCCGTGCTGACGTCGTTTCAGAATGTTGTTTCTCAGGGAGACCACTAGAGGTCGCCGGAGAACCTGGAATAAAATTACAGTACATGTTTGTGCCGCACAGTTTACCTACCTTCCAGTCACTTTGCTGATATTTCGGAAGTATGGTTTGGTCTTCAACAGAGAGGCCTCTACTCTCAGGTGCAGGATGTTGGGTGACCATTTGTCATTTGGCACACCGGCACACAACAGATTGGGGGATCCATCTGTCCTTCAGTAAGAGGAGGGCATCTCTCACTCTCTCTCAGGATATGACACTGTGAGTCCCAGTTGGTTTTCAATGAGTCACTTGTTGTGTTTTTTCTTCCTGCACTGTTTATGTGCATGCTCAAGTAGGGATGTGATTGATGCTTGTGTGTTTCCATTAGATAGCTGTGTCATCAAATAATTTAGCTGTTCAGGGGTCCCTATGTGTTGATATAGCTTTTTTGAGTTTATTTCCTTCTCATCTAAAGACACCCACAGCACAACCATTAACAGGGTTTTAATTAGATTATTTTGTTAATGAGGAAGGGAGGGATTTCTGTGCTGAGCTTTTAAACATCGTCATACAGTGTCCCTGTAGGGAGCAGCATGATGTGGAGGAAAGCCAACACAGGGTGAGTCATGGCTTCATGTTTCTCCTACTTGCTCATTTTCATGTCATCTCTTTCTGCATTTTCTATTTGGTCTTGTATCACGTCCTTTTGTTTTTGTTCATATCAAAATAATATTGTTTTGCACACCCATTTGACCAAATTTGAGCAACACATACTCTAAAGACTTTGAACACTGTCTCAATTTCTTGAAATCAGTTAGATTTATGTTGCTGTAGTCTGTGGCAAATAGAGCGTGGGTGAGATATTGTCTGTGAATTACTTGTTTTATGGCTCCCGGGAGTATCATACACAACAGCCTGTGCAGCTAAACAGAATATTTCATGAAAGCTTTCTTTCTTTTCAGGCTGCTTGAGGCTGCATCTGTGTTTCTGACTGCCAGGGAGAACAACAGTGGCCTTTCTGATACACTGGACCACAGACAACCCCAGAGAGCTGAGTCTTCTGTCACCAGCACTCAGACAAGAACAAAGTGGGTCTAAATTTAAGCCCTGGTATGGCTTCATGGACCCAGAGTCCAAGACCCCTCTATCGTCTTCCAAACCCAACTCCACAATCCTCATCAATCATACAGCCAACAGAGAGAATTTCAACACAACCAAAACCATTTCTCTTCCTTCTTTTTTCCCCTCAAGCTCTACTTCCTCCCTCACCTTTGAGCTTAGTATTTCTCATTTAGAAATGAGGTGTTTCCATTAAACTTCTCTGTGGAGGTAGGACTTTATTGCAGCCAGCAGGCTGTAGACATTTGGTCACACTCTGTTGAGCACATTGAACAGCCTGTGGTCCTATCTATCTCTGTGGCCTCATTTGTGGTGGTCCAAGGCAGGCTGACAAGTTGCAGCTTACATATCGACTCAGCCCTGAGCTGTCATGTCACCACTATGTGCTGTGCATTACTAAGGGTGTTTTTTAACCCCTTCAACATCTATCTTCAGGATTTATAGTGTGAAAATGGTTGATTTCAAGAGCATATATATTCCCTATTGTGCATTTTCAACTATCACGACTGCCAAGAGAAGCAGGTTATAAATAGAAAGACATCATCACTCCCCATGCTACTTTTTCTGTATATACACACACAGACTGTTATTTCACACAACTGTTAAAGCCACATTACCATTTTTTATTCCCCACAGATGTCAATTCCATCTTCAGCTCAAGGAGGTAATGTACACACTGATACACTCCTAAGAGACACGCATACACACACATAAAAACAGATGTGGAGAGAATTCCCCTTGGCAGGAGAAGCCTTTGAGTCATCATCTGGGATTCCCTCCTCTCACTTCCAAATATGGGTGGGATTGTAAGAGAGAGCGGGAGGCAGAGTGGAACCCCCTCATGATGTCAGAGCAGTGGAACAGTGAGCCTCACGCTGACTGGAAATTCACAGGAAGGAATGTCAGGAACGTAAGAATCACCGAAACGCTATTCCCTCATGCATGTTTGTAGAATTTGAGTTGTAGCACACATGCCTCATGTGCACCCACACAGTCGGGTAGTGTTTTTTGCCAGTCCTCTCACTGGGGAGATGTTCCTTCCCGTAAAGTCTTATTCTCTTCCCACCACCCGCCACACCAGATTGTGACTCCTAATTCCCAGCATCAGTTTCTCTGTGTGGGGCCTCTAGTTCAATGTGGCATTTCCCTTCTCTCTGATTGAGAATGGTGTAATGGCTTGAACAGTAACTGTTATGTGCATGATGTACACCATTATGTTTCAGAACTTGCAGACTTTACCTTTTTTCTAAGGATAACATTCTTTTGCTGCAGTACTTCAGTTAAAGGCCCTTTTACTACATTGCAAACAAACCTTTACTTTTTACTACACCACATATATTTGAAGGGTAGTTATTTGCATAGAATATAAAAAATATGAAGTGAATGTAATGTGTTTTAAGTTTGAACCACCCAGCCAGGGCTGGATTAACCCACTTAGGTGGTCTCAGGGGCATTAATGAGCTGTGGGCTCCTATAGGCCCCCCCTGTTCTTCCCACTCACACACTCTTTGCCTTTAAGAACCCATGACATATAGTTATTTATAAACAAGTGCTCCAATAATTGAATAATACCTGGTTTGCTGTGTGTAAATTAGTATGTGGTAATTTTAACATGCATATGTTTAGAAATATGCATCATGTAAGCACAATGTAAAGTAAAATACTAAAGGTATTACATTTTGACACACGGTCCCTCTATAAAACAGAGCTTCAAAAATAGCTAGAAACGCACCAACCATTTTAAAGTGAGACTATGTAACTTTTGCAGCAGCAGCCTCTGAGGCCTCGTGATAATTACAGGGCCCGTTAAATTTTGTTTGGCTCTGAGTCTGAGCAGTGTAAGGTTATTAGAACCGAGAGGAAAGGAAACGTCTTGTCAAGCAAGGTAAAAAGGGCTAAAACATCTGAACCCATGGCAGTTGTGTGCTAAAATGTAGATGCTAGGAGCTAGCTTATTCTGACTGAGTTACTAGCAACAGGGAAGGATCATCTCTCGGCAGGGTAAGAACTCATGCCCCAGCAACATGCAGTTAATGAGTTACCACTAGCATTATGACACATTATCTTCACCCACAGTGGAAACTACAGGATGCTAGTATGTACAGTAACTTTGCTCGGTTGATAACGAGCTAAGTTTCAAATTCTCCCTGATGTTTGATAGTAATGAATGTAGCTTAGCTCCTCTGATGACCAGCAGGCTTATAAATACAGTCAGGACTTGAGCCTGGAACTTGGCTTTGCTGATTCAGAGCCAGGCTACATGTTGACAAGATCTCAGTGAATTATGTAATTAATTGAACAGACTGATAAATGAACGAAAGCAAATGTGATGCATCTGGCAATAAATGTGATTACAGTACTATTATGGTAGCATTATGACAAAAATAAACCCAATCATGCTAAAGTGAGGCAGTTTGTGGAACTTAGTGTGATGTACGCTTCAGCTCACTGAAGCTTTCGACCTGTTGAGCCTCTGCTGATCTCGCTCTTTTCATCTTTTAACACTCCAGTCAGTGGTAACTCTTCCAAATGCCACTGGTGATGTATTAAAAAAATCATGTCAGCTTTTGAAACTCTTTTTTCACATATGAGAAACAACACAACAGAGTGACTCCATTGTTTTAGGTTTTTACTGTTGCGTGACTCTGATGTTTGAGTCAGTTGTAATGAATGAATAAAAGTAGCGCTATAATGTGTTTTGATGAGTGGGTTCCTGTTTTTGTTTGTATCTCATGCACATCACTGAGGACACAAATCACATGATATACTGTACGTTCCTGCCAAAGGTTTCACACTATTCAGCTGACTGTGGGTGATGATACCTTGCCAAGAAAATTAGCACTGAGCCAGTAAATTGTAACGAGGAAGAAGACGACAAGCAAACAAACATGGATGTAAAAACATGCTGTTTGCAAAATTTAAATGTAAAGTTGCTTACATGTTAATAATTGTTATTAATATGTTGTCAAAGTTGACAGTGAGAGAAAGATATACTTTTTATATTGTTTTAAAGTTTAATATACACTGTAACAGCATATCAGGGGAGCAAGAGATTTCAACTTGAATTAAGGAGGCACTCATCAAAAATAGGTTGAGAACCATTGGTTTAGTGAAAAACTCCACAGGGTGCCTTTTAATGTAATAGTTAATTAAAATGTTAAGGAACATTTCATGGCTAAAACTTCATGAAGTTTTTGTCTGTTCCACAGGTTTTCATCTGAGCATGATCCCTGCCTGTCTACACTTTCCCTTTTCTTCTCCTCTCTTTACTCTGTCCCGCCGAGTAAACGTCCCACAGAATGCCATCCCCAGCCCTAATTATTGTTT